CCCTGCCCTGGGTGGGATGGGGGAGAGAATAAGAAGAGTAAAAGTGAGAAAACTCATGGGTTGAGATAATTTAATAATTTAAATTAAATAATAATAACAATAAGAAATAAAAATCTAAGGAAAAGGAAAATAACAAAGAGAGAGAAATAAAACCCAGGAAAGACAAGTGATGCAAATGAAAACAATTGCTCACCACCAACTGACCAATGCCCCGCCAGTCCCTGAGCAGTGCCCCCCCGCCCAGCCAACCTCTCCCCTATTTATCTGCTGAGGATGACATCCTATGGTCTGGAATATCCCTTTGGTCAGTTGGGGTCAGCTGTCCCAGCTGTGTCACCTCCCAACTTCTTGTGCCCCCCACCCTGCTCGCTGGTGGGACAGGGTGAGAACCAGAAAAGGCCTTGGCTCTGTATAAGCACTGCTCAGCAATAGCGAAAACATCCTGTGTTATCAACACTGTTTTCAGCACAAATCCAAAACATAGCCCCATACTAGCTACTATGAAGAACATTAAGTCTATGCCAGCCAAAACCAGCACAAGGCTGCAGTTGATTACCCATTTGAGATGCAGTAACTTTTTCAGTATGAACCTGAATTGCCTTCAGTGTATTAGATTACCTTTACTTGTTACCACAGATGGATTTTGAGATGTAATACAGACCCACTAAAATGACAGAAAAGTTTCCATGTTGTGGTGGCACACCTGAGGAGTTACTGCAGATATTTACAGCTGTAATAAGGAGCACAGATTTTAGTGTGATTCGCAAGGCAAACAGCACACTGATGTTTGTGGCTGTGCAGTACAGTCCAAACAGTTCAGCACGTGGTGGGAATGGTACTTACACACTGTAAGTGTTAGCTTCCAGTCTTGGGGCTGAGCATAATTTGGCTGTTTTTCACCTTCTGTATCACTTGATCGTGATGTCAGTTGTGCACATGTGTAATTGGCTGCCACACTTAGAACAAATACGGTTCATAATTCTCCTCAGGTACGGCACAGAAACTTTCAGGGTGTCTTACCTCTACTTTGAGTGCTCCTGTGACTTTGCAGTTGTTTGTAATGTTACTAATGTCAGGATTTTTAAAATTTCATTTGATGTGAATTAGACCTGTTGTAAAGGGGTTTACAGGGTGCTATTAAATGTGCTTTGTTTAGTTAGGTGGCTTAATCCAGTAACATGACGCACTGCGAGGTAGCTAGAGCCTAAAATTATGCGCTTTATTTTAAATCTCAAAAAGAACAGAATGTCCCAAATCTTTGAAGTTATTTTTTATTAGAACATAAAAAATAAAGTTAAACCAATGTGACTCTTCAGAGAAAACTCATAACTCTTGTGTGACACATGTTAAATAGAAAGGTTTGCAAATAAAATTGTGGTGAGTCCACCAAGTTCTTTGAAGGACTTAGTTTTATTCCAGTTCTACTTTTTCAGGCTAACAGCTGTCAAAGATATCCTTGGCTTAACAAACACATCACACACCCCTATGTGTTCCCACGGAAATTTCCTTCTGCCTGTCACCTCTGAGATTTGGCTGCATGGCTGCTTCCCACTGCAAATAACCCCCTGTGCTGTGCAGGAGCCTCCCTGTCTCCATTGGTGATGCAGGTTTCCTGCTTGCTCCCTCACCTCTTTTTTCTTTCTGAATCCACTGACGCTGTTTTTCAGCAAGACATTGTCTGCAGTACCCACAGAGGAAACTGAAACTAAATTGAAAGGTTTTACCCTCACTTGCAGAAAGGGTTCTCTTATGTACTTGAAGACTTGACTGTATAAAGTATGCAAAATTAGGTAATATAATTGCATCTTCTAAAAAATCTGGAAGTAGTGGAAATTACAGCCTTCATTAATGCGCAGAACATTATGTCAGCAGTGAGAAGTTCCTGCATGCGTCACTTCTGTTTTTTCACTCTTGGCCTGGGGATGGACCACTTTCAAAGATCAAAGAGCAGTGAAGTCCTTTTTCCCAAAGCAGTACACTCTATCCCAAGTTTGTCATCAGTTGTGGTTTTTGACAGAATGGAATTTCTCTGTAATTATAGCGGAGTCCACCAACTCCTTTTGCTCATTTACCAAGAAAAGGCAATAAAGGTAAAATGAAAATTAGGAGAAGTCCTGTCTGTCTTGGTACACATCTGCGATTACAAAGCAGTTGCTAATATCTTTCAGTCATTACCATATCAGCTGGATATAAAAGGTAATGCTTGTGCTTTCTAATGAAGCACAAGTTGATGCTGTTTAGTTTACAGACTAATTCTCCATTAGCTAAGGCAATTTGCCACTGCACTTTTTAAAGTGCAGATCCATAGTAATTCTCAAAATAAAGACCTACTCATGCAAGTAGATTTCAGTAAGTGGTGAAAAGAGGTAGAATAAACAGCATTTATCCAGGAGCAAAACTAACAATGCATTCGTTAAAGGTATCTGTGCAAATAAGGGTGTAGACTGACAGCAATACTTTAGATATTTATATCCACAGCTATCCCAAAGAAAAAGTTCTGTGAGTAACTGCAGAAGCACAAGAATATAACTATTTGCAGAAATATGTACCGGTAAAAACTATGCAGAGGAAAGAATAGCAAAATAAATATGTTTTGTATTAACAGCAAATCAACTCTTTCCATTCCTTCAGTTGTGAGAAGGTGATTTCTCATTCATACCTCCTTCTTGTGACCAGATGAATCTTTGCTACACAAAGGTGATGGGACCTGGCCCTACTTCCTGATGAAATCTGTGAGACATGGGAAAATAAGATCATTTTTCCTGATCTTTGCTTACATAAGGTTTTAGGCTGCAAAGTGATAATAAGTTCAAAATGGCCATTAACCAAATAGATTTAAATAAACCTGTTTTGGGGGAGAAAATGCAACTAAATTCAGGTGTAAAGCTTTCATTTTGAAACTGTCTCATTAGGTAATATTGACGATTTAATCATGTTTAATTGATGGGGTTTTTTCTCTTATACTGGAAGATCTGCCTAAATGAATGCAACATGGCTACAACCAAAAGATGTAATTTTCCAAGGACTACTGGACAGAATAAAACCAAAAGTTGAATCTGTTCTTAAAAAAACCTGAAACTTTTGTTAGGCTTATGGTCCTTTGTCCTTAACACTTATGGTGTGGTTGTAACTTTCTGTCATTTCCGTCACGGAGGTTTCATTTTGATTGCTGGTATCAGTAGAGCCTTTGTTTCTTAAAGCTAGACAGCCTTATATAAAAATGATAACCTTTTTGTGAAGCCATATGATGGCCCTGGTTACCCTGGCTGCACAGAGCAAGTCAGCAGGCAGAGGGGTGGGAGGGTGATGCTGCGTGTCTGCCAGGCAAGCACCCTCAGCCTCCGTCCTTGACTTCGGGGTGGGCTGGTTTTCGAAGATGAAGATGCTTGCAGGGAAAGAATAGGGGCTGTTCACTCCACAGTTACCTGTTTCTCTTTCCTTCCTGCTTGGCACAACTGCTGTCACATCCAATAGTTGTCATGAGGGTCATCCCTGCACTTTGACTCTAAGTTGGTTTTGACACATTTTTAGTCTTACAGGTCTTATATCTACTTCATCCATACGAGCATGGTTCTTAAGTGTGTGTTCAGTCCACATCACTTTCATCCATACTGTGCTGACCTTAACAAATCTCCTCATTGCCTACAGGAATAGGGTCGTACTTTCAAAATGGCCAACTAAATCTGTGCTGAATTATTTGATAAACAAGAGAGCATGAAGGGGGTTGGAAAGATGAAAACCCAAGAGAGGCAGTGGCATCTTCTGAAATGTTAGATGCAGTTGAAAGAAATGAACTGACACCTATAAATTCCCTGATTCAACATAAATATCCTAATCCTGTCTAGGCCGTATGTAGGGTTAAATAATATAGTTATACCATTAAACAGTGGAGCACATGCAATCTTGATGGTCCAAATAGAGCCTGTATTTTGGGCAGTGGGTGCTGTCATTCCTCTCAGGAGCCTTTCAGGACTAGTGAGCACACTCTGCATAAACAGGTCTGTTTTGGTGGTTAAAAACAGCTATTTATAAAACACACAAGTGAAATTTCATACTACTATCCTAATCTCAAGTGTTTTCTTTCCTCGTCTCTTCTGCTTAAGAGGATCTGATAACTTTTATCTTATTTCTACTGTAAAAACATACAAACCATATATTTAAGTCAAAATCCCCTGGAGGATTTCATTTAGAAGGAATATTGTGCCATGATTGCTTCTCCCCTAGAACACTGTAAACTGCCTGGTTGTTTAATAGTTTTCTATTCAGAATACTGCATGTTAAAAGATGGAGATGTCAGTATTTGGGATTGCATCCACCAAGATCATCTTCCACAGGTTTGTTTTAACGCTTCTGTTTGCTTTGCAGCAATCTGAATGCTAGCTGCTGCTCCTCAGTGCTTTATGTCAAAATATTCAGTAGCTTCCTGGTCAATATTTAGGTAAATCAAGTAATTCTGCTTTAGGTTCTTCTGTATTTACGCACTTTTTCAACGCCCCTGCCCCCTCTTTTCAGTGTTACATATTTCTCCAGATTCTAGATTTTGCTACCACTTCATAAAGTCTTACAGGTAAAGCATTTTTTATTTTAACAATTCAAGTTCAAGGTGAATAATTTTACAAAATGTGATTAAAGTTAAGGTATGGCTTCTGAGTTTATGGACGCTTCAGACTTACATCTTAAATATGTGTTCTTTTATAATAATTTTTCAGCATGCAGCAACAGAACTGAAATGTTGGTTTGGCCTCTGCATTTCAGTATTAGAATTAAGCCTCATTGCTCCCACTTCTGGATAGCTAGCAACATAAAGGAAGAAGCTAGAAGTGTACATATATGTTTTTAAAAGGATTTATCTGGTGCTACCAGAAATAAAGTAAGCCTGCTGATCATCTGCGTTTAGTTCTTGCTCTGACCTGGAAACTTACTTTGTCTGGCATCAGGACTAGACCCAATCTCTCTTGTTCATGTGGATGCAACCCTTGTTTCCTCCTGTTTCGTGACAGGTAACCTGGGGTCCCAGCTGGTTGAGTATAAAGAAGAGATGTACATAACATCTGACTGTGGGAAGACGTGGCGTCAGGTAGGAAACAGAAATCATCAAAGGCACAAGGAACTAATTTTAATGTACCAAATGGGATGAATTTTATAATGCTTAACTAATCTTTATATACTCACTCTTTTGAGAGAGGTGGCTATTATTATCCGCATTTCACTTGGAAACTGGGAGAGATTAAGAAGGTAATTTGCAAAACTCAGATTGGCTGGGCTGTCAGGTTCTGCTGAAATTCCAGTATTTTGGTGTCTTTAAAGGTCTTATAAATACCTTGCATAAAAACCAGAGTCTGTTTAGGTTTTTAATAATTTAAGTAATATGCTTATGCTAATGATGAAGTGGACCTGGCCTAGATCTTGCAAATATTCCAAGCTAGAAGACATGGTTTAGGTAGAAAGGCAGAAATTCTTCTGCTTCATAGTCTGAAAACTGATATTTAAGCTTAAACTTTGTTCTTCGTTGAAACTGAGAAAGCAAAAAGAGATTTTAAAAAAAAATACATTTTTTTAATGTCTGTTAGTATGATTTAATCAATTCTGGGACTACAAACACCAAAGTATTAAATAAAGAACAGTCATGTAGTCGCTGTAATGCCACTTGAATTCTGGATGTCTTTTGCTTCCAATGCCTAGTGTCAATTTAAGCATTGCACCTTTATTATGTATTTTTTCCTAAATTGCTCTATCTCAGCAATGCTTAATCATGGGGATATTTTCTTTCTGTGTGTATATAGCAACAACACACAATATGATCTGGAATCTACTTATAATGTATATCCAGGAGGAAAAGAAAACACCCTCAAAGGACCAAAGTGTGTAAAAAAATAATTTAATTTCAGTTAAAATACTGGTTTAGTGTTCAGCTAAAATAAAATTAAGTTGTGTTATTTTCTAGAGAACAAGTGTGAAAATGTTCTCACTAGTGTTACTGAGCTTGGGGAGTTAGAGATTAAAAGAGGAAAATACAGACAGTCTCTTCTATTGCTATTGTGGGGTGCCATTAATACTCCACAGAAGGACTTTTTAAAAGAAATACATTAATTTTGTCATGATAATGTCCTTTGAGGTTTAAAAGATAAAATTTTCTGCCAAATGCCTTCTTGAAATCTAGCATAAGATAAATAAGTGTTTAAATGCAAAAGCCTTCCAGGATTTACAGTGGGTACTGTGTTGTCTAATACGTCATACAGGCCTCTCTAATAATTTATTGTCAGCATTTGCCAAAGTTCTATATTTTTTTCTGGTGTGAAAAGTAATAAGAAAAGAGCAAAGGGGATCAAATTCATATTTTTGCTGCTTTTTATTTGTGAGACACTCACACAAATGATATGTGATGAAACTTGACCTTAAGATGACTATTCATGCTGCAAAACCAACCACAAATTGATCCCTTATTATGACAGTCAAAATGAAAAACACCTTTGCTAGCTTTGCTTTAATTAGAACTGCTACAAAGCCTTTGAAAGAGCTTACTCAATCCTAATATTTGTGATCAGAATGAAAATGTGGATTATTTTATGGCCTCACTGTTCATGATCGAACAGTTCTTCCGGAGGACAGCGGTACATTTCCTTTCTCTGTTGGAGCTCATGCAACAAAAGACAAGGCTTCAGTTAGATGATACAGGAATTATTTAGACAGTTAATTACAGATCTCATGAGCTGGCAGAAGCAGAGCAAAGCTCGTGTTCGGGTGGGTTTAAGTCACTGACTTGGAAACTTTGCAGTTGTCATTACCGAGTGCCTGTCACCTTTCTCACATGCCACACATGATGTTGCAGAGCTGTCTACAGACTAGAAGATGAGCAGTCTGTGCTTGCACAGAGTGAAAGAGCAAGGCAGAAAAGTAAATATAAAAGACTTAGGAGAAAAGGCAGTTCAAGGAATTAATTAAAAGCTTTCCTGAAATAATAGCAGTAATGGTTCATAGGAATATAGGACTGGGAGGAAGGTGAAAGATCATGTAGTTCGACTGCATGCTCTGAGACATCAAACGTACTAGGAACATCTCTGACACAGGTTTGCCAGACCTATTTGTTAATCGTTCACTGTAGGAGATTCTGCAGTCTGGCTACCTGGTGTTTCACCATTCTTCATAGAGTTTTCTGAATATTTAATGTAAGCCTACTATGCTTTTTGCTGTTCTCACAGTTTCACAAATTCTGCAAGATAAGTTGATTTCTTCTTGTCTTTGGAGAGGAGTGGTTTTCTGTCACCTTTCAATAACTTTTCAGATGTTGAAAGATGATTCTCATGTCTACCCAGAGTATAGGGCTTTTCTTCTTGGAAAACAGCAAACTCAAATCCACTGATTTTCCTAATGGATCAAATTTCTAAAGCGCTTTTCCTTTTTGTTGCTCATTGATTGGACTATCTAATATGACATCCCTCTCCTGAAGCATGGTAAAACTGAATGCAAAATTACAAATTTTATCAGTACTAAACAGAATTAAATGATTGCCCTTGATGTCTTGACATTACTGGCACCTCATTTCAGATTTGTCTTCTTTACACTGGCATCACATTGTTGACTCAGATTCAGTTTGTGATTCATAACTGGGACCAGTCCCTGAGTTCCTGAATGTGCAATACATTCTCAATTTAACAACAATCTACTGATCATTTTCATTCCATAATTTCTTAACCGGCTGTCTACACTTAAATGATTTCAACTGAACCTTTATTTCCATAGCTTGCATATGGTAAGGTCATATGAGAGTTCAGGAAGACTTACTATAGTAGGATATACAACCAGTGTTTATAGGTAGAAATAAAAATGACCAAATGAGAGTTTTGTGAAATTAAGTAAATCCTAGTGATAAACAGAAAAGAAAACATAAGGATTGTGATTATAAGTAGCCACAATACCACTTGGGCTTGCTCCAGTTGTTCTTCTGCCTTTCAGTTGCACAATGCCTGAGCTACTTATTAGTATCTCTTGAAACCATCGCTCCCCTGCGTAGCATTTTAAGGCAAGCTGAAATTTGTGACTATGTATTGTACAACATTGCACTGTAAATAGCAGTAGTTTAGGAGCTGATTGACAAGTAGCTTGAATGTCCATGCAACAGCAGCGATCTGGCCTGTAGGAGAAGATAGTCTCACCTTGACATTATCATGAGCTATGTGGGCTTCGATCATCTTAAGTGAACGACGAAGATGTAGCCTGAGGTGAACTTGTGGGACAGATATGTCTATTTAGAAGATTTCTCTATTACATGAGGAAAACAATATCATAAAATATGTTAATGAACATGATAGCAGTCAGATAGATACTGTACAAACTGATTTCTGTTCACAGTTATGGTTCCCTTTGCTATTTCAACAGCATCTGTTAAAACACTGTGCTTGAAATAGGGCAAACAGAGTAAGAGAAAGGTCTGGCTTTCAAAAGAAAAGGCTTAAATAAAAGGAGAAACAACAAAAAACCTTTCATATTTGATCTGCTACCAAAGTAGCTAGCGTAGCAACAAAATGCCCAATTAAGCTAATAAGGTTACACAGAAAGTCTGTTGTATGTCTAGGGACAGAATCCAGATCTCTGGAGCTTTAGTCCAGTGCTTTGTTTGTTGGAATATTATTTCTCTATGCCAAATCCTTTTGTATCAAAGCAATTTGGAAAACATTTGTTTAAGCAAGACTACTTGTTTTTCTGCAGACATCGTTAAGAGATGGATGGTAACACCTTTAAGCACAACAGGAAAGGCTGCAATCCCAGCCTCACCCCTGGGAAGGTCCAACTGGCTTATTCTGTGTAGGAAAACTTCTGTTTCCAGATTTGAATTTACAAATGGATGTCACTTTGTGAGAGAAGCAAGTGACTTTGGGCATTTTTGGTTACTTTTGAAACTTACATATCTCAGAGTAAAATTGTGTGGAGTATATTTCTCTAGATTCATTTAAACATGTTTTCATTGAATTCATGGAGCTCTCCTAATTTCTCCCAACAGATATCCTGGCCTGAAATAGCTGCTGAAGTTGTTAGGACAGACACAGGAAAAAACATGGAGAGCAGATGGAGGGGAGAGAGGGAGAGAAAAGAAGTTGACATTACAATTGTAAAGCATATAACATGCTCCAAAAATTACAGAAAGAAAAAACATAGAAATAGGTTATAAGAATCTACTTCTGTAGTTGCTGGCTACCAGTAAGGATTGTAATGAATTTATTACCTGACTTTAGTTAGTGGAGAGTCATATGTCAGAATTCGTGGCTGACTGTGAACATACATATCACTTGATCCTGGGCTCGAATTTCAGCTCTGACACCAGGACCATCTTTGCCTAAATCCTTTGCAAACTGATTGTCTTGGTTTTGTTTCTAGAAAGTAGACAGAAATATTTACTTTTGTGCTGAACTCCACAGGCATGAAATCGTTAATTCTTTTCAATGTACTGAAGATGAAGATTTACTTTCATCAGGAATGTCATACATTTTTCATTCTTAAATATTTGAACCGTGTACGAGAAGAGCATGATATAAAGATGGCATTAATGTGCCTGTAATGTATCCTCTGTGCTTCATAGTGTGCCAAGTGGATGTAGGGTAAGGCTGGGGTACTGAAATGGTTTATGAGGAAGTGCCATGGTGCTTTTCTGGGAAAACCTAATTTGGATAAAGTGATGCACATACCAGCTTATTATCTTCAGTATGATGGTGAAGCTTTTGGAGACTTTGTGTCCCAGCATATATCATTTCATTTTGATTTGAGCAAAAGTTCAAACAAAGTTTAGAGGAGGATCAAAACTCTGCTTGCTTATCTGACTCCAGCTAATCTCATCCTTTTGAAGTGCATCTAAATTAATGTCTATCCTTTACTGAATTCTCTTCTAAAATACGCAGCTGTGTGGAACAAGAAGATAGGACTGTAAATGCCTCATATCAGGGTTTCGCCTATAAATTGGCAACACTGAAAAGCTGATCAGACACTTGAAGCCCTAGGATTCCCGTAAAATAGGCTCTCACTAGATGAGAGGAAGACTAAATTCTGAACCCAAATTAAATGCTTATTATTTTTGAAGTAATTGTGAATGTGCTGTAAGATACTTTTCTCCCACCTCTGTTTCAGTCTTACTGATAAATCCTCTAAATGTAGCATTAAGTATTGTCAAAAAAAGAAGCATTTAGTATTGCCAGGTTTTTTCATTCACAAGGCAAAGTAAAGCTAACCTTTATGTTTTTCACCTTTGCTTTGTCAAAGCCTGTAGGCGGCTGCATGTTCATCTATTAACTGCTAAGTGTGTGTAGTAACTCTCACTTTATCACCTGCTCTTATGTTAAATGAACTTTCACAGGTTAATAACGTGAGTAAACCCTGCCTTAAAACAGATTTCACATGTAAAAAAGGGAAGATATCTACCTGTTCATTTATTTTAGTACTGCTGATGACCTCTAGAAAATGAATGAAAATAATTTAGGAAATTTTGAATCCTTTATACCATTAAATCAATATTCCGTGTATTTTGGTTCTGAACTCAGAGCGGCCTCTGTGTGAGATCACATAAAGTTTGAATTTAAATAAATCATTGACACTGGAAATGCAGAAAACATGCTTGCACCAATTATTTCAAATTCTGTAGAGTCTGGAGAACATGTGAGAAAGTCACGGACAGCAGTACTTTTCCTATTTTTCTTAGAATTAGACTACAAAACATTTTATTCTGCAAGATACACAGAATATGGCAAATACCAAAGTAAGGTGATAGGTCACTTGGTGATATATAATAGGAAGGAATGCAGAATGCATACTGTGAGAAATATAAGCTTGGGCTAAAATCACTTCAGACAGTTTAATCTGACTGTGATTTGAACCTGAACATTTTCTGATTCACCTGCTTAACTTTCTTTTCTTTTACAGCTGCGAGAAATATAAGAGTTAAACTGACTTTTATGTCCTTTTCAATTTGAAGTGCGGACATTATAAAACATAGAAGTCTTTTAATCCTGGTTTGCTCATACATTTTATTTCTGCTGGTTTGTACATTTCCTTAGCTGGCCTTTTTTTGTCTGACTTGTAGGTCTTTGAAGAAGAGCACCACATCTTGTACCTGGACCATGGTGGAGTTATTGTGGCCATCAAAGACACCTCTATCCCTCTGAAAATACTCAAGTAATCCTACAGTCAATTAGAGTAGAGCTATCGTGTATTTGAGACTTAAGGCAAAGTTCAGAATTTACGATGAGCATTTTAGTGTCATCATGTATGAAATGCAGGTGGAGTCAGCTTAATTTATCATTCATTAAGTCAACAAAATGCAGGTGGATGTTTTCTTAAAGATTACTTCATGGTGCTGAAAGTACCGTGGTATAACGTATTAATAATAATAAAATTTTCTGGCATCAGTATAGGTATTTTTGCTTAAAAGGCTATCCTGGAACTCTACAGTACAAGCCATGTTCAGCATGATTGTTATCTGCTACTGGTCGCACCAGCAGTATATGGCAATGATGCTCAACCTAAGATGCGTATGTGGCTTAGGTACCCAGTCAGGATAGTTCATTCATACTATTCATACTGTTCATTCATAAAGCTCTGTCCCTTCCAAGCGCCACAGTGAATGAAGATGTTGGAGAATAGTCCTGAGTTGCTCTCTCAAGAGCAATATAATATAGACTTTGGGAGCCAATGGGGAAAGGACTTATGTGTCCTTATGTGCTGTGTAACACAGTATGCAAAAAGCTCAGTTCATCTGAGACATTTATGCACAAATTAACTGTACTGTGCATAGAAACTGTCCTATAGTGATAATGCAGCAAATGGCCTTCTCATCTTGTTTGGCAGGAAAGGTTTTCTGCAAAGCATTTTGTCATAAAATACCAAGTTTTAAACTGCATAATACTGAAGCAAAATATGGTAATCTTACATAGTGGCATACAGAACTATCATCTTTGGCATAAAAAACATAAGAGATCTTCGTCACTTGTGGTTCATTTTTACATAATACTGTATACACTAGTAGGAACTAGGCTATGTACTTGGTTAGCTAGGGTGAAAGCCATCATAAACCTACTATCCAAAAGACCTGGAGGAAATGTAGAGAAGAAAATTTGATTCATAAATTTTGGGTGCACAGAATATTTGAAATATGTTTTGCCAATTCATCAGCATCTTTTGCAAATTTTTAAGTGGATGGTAGCAGCTGTGAAGGGCCATCATCTTGGTGCCTGCAGTCACCGCACCTCCCACATATTTTAGCAATTGGGCTGTTTGGCTCCCATGCTTCACTGACCTCTGCTTAACAGGTGTCTAGCTCAGAGACTACTAGAAAGAATGAAGTGTAGATTAACTTGCTCTTGAACCTACAAGGTAGCAAGACAGTTTGTTGACAGACCTCAGTTTTTATCTGCCTGAGAATTTCCATTGTTGTGGCAAATTTATTATACACCTTCTAAAGATGTGAGCCCCTGGATACATTGCTGAGAAAAAGATCACATTAATATGATATACTGTCCAGGCATATTGTATTTTGGTGATCATAAATCCTGGGCTTTAGTAGTGAGGGGATTTTTTTTTTAATTAATCAATTCTGTTTTGTATAATAACAGTTGTAAATTAAAACCATTTCTGCTTTTTTACAGGTTCAGCATAGATGAAGGCCAGACTTGGAGTACGCATAATTTTACCAGCACTTCAGTCTTTGTAGATGGATTACTCAGTGAACCTGGAGATGAGACACTGGTCATGACGTAAGTTTCTGGTTTTATCTCTTTTTTCAGGGCTCTCTCTGCTTATGCACTTGAGCATATTTTAAATTTTGGATGTTTGACATAGTTCTTGAGTCAGTGGCTTTTGCTTCTTGCAGTCACGGAGGCTCTTACACTGACGTCCAAGCCCTAGTATGCAACCTGTCTTTAAAATTACTTGAGTGCAGTATTTCAGATTGTAAACATGAAGTGTTATGTTCAGGTGAAATTTCGCAAAGTTACCACCAGGGAGAGTGGAATAATAGGACTGCAAATACAAATCAGAGAAACGTAGGTAAAAAAATAACTAATTACTGCATTTTTTCTGTTTTCTATAGATTCTTAGGCAGACTTAAAAAATGTTAAATATCTGTCCTTTCTTCTTGTAAAGATTGTCTTCACAGTGTAAAAAACTATATTGTTGTCCTGGTAACAAGCATTGCAGTACTTTGTGTAACCAAACACTGTGCTAACAAATACACGTTTTTATTCTGTGCAGTGACTGAGGCAGATGCTGTGAATAGAGTTAAAAATAACCAAATTCTGCATCTCAGGCCCCTTTTTATCTGTCTTTTTCCAAAGGGCCAAGGACATCTGGATCTGAGCTGCAGGTTTTGCTCCATTTCTAGGATAAATGCTAATATTTTAGAAGTGTCTGAGAGTAAAAAACACCTGTCCAATTAGGGAGAAAGGCACATGCTGACTGCAGCAGGAAAGGGGAGTGCACTCAGGGATGTGCAGGTTGTTACCTGTGTTCCTATCAGAACAGCTTGTGCAATCCTTTATATTGGAGCTCAGTGTGTTCATGACAAGCTTTTTCTCCTAGGAGTTACAAATAGAGCTGCCTTTGACATGTACCGGTAGCATTTTCCCCAGGGGGGGGAAAAAACCCAAACAGCTTATAGCCCAGCATGGAGCTGTGTAAAGGATCCTCATCAAAACAGAAATCCTACTCAATGTACTTAAAAGCATTGCGCCAAGTTCATAACACTGTACTGCACAGAGGTGAATTTGTTCTGTTAGTTATTTCTTTCTTTCTCCACTGTCCCATTTATCCTCCATTATACATATATGACCTGGGAAGAACAGTATTATCCCACCATCTTCCCCTTCTCTCAAGTATAGGGTTTTTTTATCATATAATATATGCCACACGGAGATACTTACACTTCTGAATGAAGGATTTCTATTGATTTCAGTGGAAGTAGAGGGATCAAAAGCTTACCCTAAACTGTACTTACTGGCAGATAAAATGATATGTGATTACTATATGCTCTGGGTTTTTTTTTTTCTAAAATATCATTAAAAACAGTGATTTTGTGAAGATGTATTTAAATATCTGGCTGAATGGGCTAAAGAGCTCTTGTAAAACACGATGCCTTTTTGAAATCATCCATCTGAAATACATAAAACTGTAGCTAGATTTGGTACGTGAGCCCAGATTGACAAAAAAGCATCATGTGACTTGTGTGTTTCTAACGGCAGAACAAGAGTCTGACTCCAGCACCTCAATGCCAGGCTTGTAGGATCTTACTTTGCAGCTAGTTCTGCTGAACATGGAAGACATCAAACACATTCTATCACAGACTGGCCTTGAAAAGACAAGCAGCCTTCCTCCCAGACTCTAAAGATAATGAGAAGAATAAACCTGCAGTATGTGTTTCCTTGTTGCCATTTTATCAGCTTCCTTGTCTCTCCTACTGCTTTTGATTGGGTTTTACTTTCAGGGTGACGTTGTATGCCCCATGATGCTCTGTCTGAGTTTACATCAAGACCTTTTGTCGTTCTGTCTGGCTTAGGTCATTTTCTTTCAAAATTTCATGCTTGTACTGAGTTGCTGTGCATGACAATCTACAGTGATTTGCTGCTTTTGAGAAATGTCATCCACTGATACACACTCCCTGGAAAAAAAAAAATCAACTGTGCCATCTTTTCCATTTTATTAGATAAAAAGTGTTTTTTCTTCTGGGTAGAATGTGGTAAGATGAAATTGTGTATGGTAATGGAAATAAATTAGTAGTGTCTTTCACCCCAAGGAATCCCCAAATCCATTACTAAGGACCTAGTCTGACATTTTTTACTTGTACAGGAATTTAATTTTCTCCCTTTCGTATGGAGGTTATTTGAATAAGGACTTTGAATACAGTCCAATGTCAAAATCTGCATAAATTAGGAGAGATAGCACAATTCTGAAGTAGGAAGGTAATAACTGAAAAAGTGTACAGCAAAATTGTGGAACAAGCATTATCTCATTTAGAGCTTCTAGAATAAACTCACAGAGTCAAAGAGTATTTTACTTGTACAGAAAGCGGCTATTACTGTAGGCTAAAATCCTGGTTCCACTGAAGTCAGCTTAGGGATTTCCGTCAAGGTTTTTAATCTTTATTAAAAATAAAACCAAACCACAAAAAGATTATCTGGGAAAGACATTAAGGGACCTGGTAACACTGTGTGTAAGAGAGATTTCTCATTCTGCAGCATGGTGACTGAAACGTTGACCTGACTTGTAAGGGGCTTCCATTTGCGTTCCTATTCTGTCCTAACTTCTTGAAAATGAATTGGTCTGGTAAGCTTCACTGAAGGAGCAGGGGAATGTGAACCTGGTTGCCTCAAATCTTCATTGCAGAAAGTTTTGCGTTTTCTCCAAAACGGAGAAAAAACAAATGTTGACTTGTCAAAAGTTTTCATAAAACTGAATTGTCATCTGCCAGTCGACATTAATCTAAATCATTCATCTAAATCCCCTGTAGTATTCAAAATATGTACACTCAAATGCCAAGGAAAACATATTTTATTCCATTGCACTCTGCAAATAGACCTACTTAAGATTTTTAGGAGTTTAAGTGGTAAAGTACTGAAAAACTCTAGGAAACTCATTCTGTGTAAAAATCAATTTCTAAATAGACCTAGTTAAGAGTGTTAGGAAAGATAAGCAGTAAAGTATTCATGAAGTTTAGGAAACTCGATCTGTTTAAAAATCAATTTCTAAATGAAGAGCTCAAATCCACCATTTATTGCTAAATGAATAAGTAAGGTTTGCTAAGAAATTTTCACAGCTATTTGATATATATGCATCAAAATAGTGCATGGTCTAGCAGGCTCTATTTTGTTCTAAATTCTTTAAGAATGAAAGTTACTGCAGCCCAGTGTTATACTTCATATATTATATTTGGGAAAAATTACTTAATAACGCTGGATTGAGTAATGGCCTAACTCAGTGGAAAAATGAAGAATTTTTGTGTGTCTGAAATATTGATGTTCCTCTTCAGAGGAAGTAGTTCATATAATGAAAGTTTCAAACCTGTTAAAATGACTTCTAAATCACAGTTCAGCTCCTGGGAGTGTTTCCCAAACCAGGTTATTTAGATTGCAGTGTAAACCCAGCAGGCACAATAACCGTGGTACTGCAGACCATGGCCCCTTTTAAAAGGCCAATAAGAGGTTACATAAAAGAACTGCTTTTCTTTTTGTCAGGTGGTAGAATCAAAATCTTCCTTGTGGGTAATTGTATTTTTTTCCAGACGGATTTTTTTTCTAAGGTCTCATAGAGTAACAGTTTAAGATGCTGCTGGGAACTTTATGATATCTCTGAACCGCAGAACTCCTGCATGTGCATTTTGCTATTTCGAAAGTCTGTTGTTGTGTTCCTGTTGGGTTCCTAGGTGATAATGGAAGCAAGAAAATAGTCTAGTTTAAACTTAATCAAAACAAGGTGGATATGATATTAACAGGTGTTAGATATTAGGGAGAACCATCTGGGTTTTTGCAACTGTGGATTCTGCTAGGAATGTCAGCCTCACCTTTAACAACATCAGTAACAGTCAACATTACATGTAGTTTGTGGGGCTTATTGTTGTGCCACACATGGCAGCACACTACCTTTTCTGTTGTCTTTGAGGATCTTACTGGGTGGAGGTCCTTCTCTGTTGTGAATTCTTCACTACTAACTTTCTCATACCGTGACCCTTAAAAAAAGTAGATAAATGGTAGATAAAGCCTCATTATGTAAGAGAATAGCTGATTTCCCAAGGCAAATTCTAGGTTTTATTTGCAGAGTTAGTTAATCTTTTGTTTGAGAAGCATTGCTCAGTTATGAAATGGTTGTTCTGCTCTCCGCATAACGAGGAACATATCCGTCTGTCAATAGATGGAGGAAACATACAGAAAGACAGGAAAAGAATGGTGGAAAAAGCATTGAAAAAGCGAACTGGTTACTCTGTTTCAATCTAGTCTAGATACCAGTGATCCAGATATACAGATGTCTGTTTAGTGGCAAGTCTAATGCTTTTGCTGACATCACTGTGGACACAGACGTTAGCAGAGCGAGTCAATGCGTTCTGGTGTCACTGCCAACCTGCAGTCTTGGAGCCAAGACCATGGGACTGCCTCTGTCTCTCCCTCTGCTCAAAAGAAGTTCAGTGGGTAAAGCTTTGGTTTTTTTCTTTTCTTTTCTTTCCCTAAAGTTTTCATAACATATTCAGAAGCATGTGAACATGACGCTTTCAGTGTCTTGCTAAAGACCATATTTAGTACATTTTGAGGGCAGACCTGGAAATATATCCGAATAAGAGGAACTGAAAGGTTAGGAATCCAGGTCCTGTAAGAATCTTTTATCACCTTGTCCCTATTTAAAGGAGGAGAGAAGGACAGAGAAAGGGCAACATGTGACTTTTTCATTCAGAAAGAGTCTTTGTGTCATTTTGAGCCCCTGTCACAGAGTGAGTGCCTGCAGCTACAGTGCTCTAACTTCTCTTCTCTCAGTTCCATTTTAGTTTCTAATTCTAATAAATGCTGCTGATGAGGTAGACATTAGAAACCTAGGCCAACAATACAATTGTTCAAACATTATACTTAATTTTGGGTGAGGTCTTGAACTCCATTTTGCTGTATCTTGCTCTCAAAATGAAGGAGCCACAGTTTAGGTGACCATAGGCTATTTACTCTGGCTCTGCCAAGTGAAGTCTGAATGAAGAATTTCCTACCTGTGACAAAAGAGACCCTAT